TCAGGGGTCTTGTGATATGAGTGCATCTATTTTGTGATGGTGCTGGTGTTCCGCAGAATGGTGTTGGGGAACTGAATGTCTACTTCATGGAAGTTTTGCTGTAGGGTGCCTCAGCATACCATCTTCTTCCCAGTGTTATTTTATATCTGTATAAAGCTTCTGGATGTAGTAGTTCAAGGATTTGAGGTGTGAGGTACCATCAGTACACAGATAGCACCCAACACTTTCTCCACTACCTCTGAATCAGGAGACACCTTGCATAACCTAGACTGATGCTGTAACACAGTGGTGACTTACATGAGGGCCAAGAAGCTGACTCTGAATCCTAAACGATGGCAGCACTGTGGAAGTGTGGTTCCCAGGAGCTCACAATTTCCCCTGAATGATTAGGTTTGGAGGTGTTCCTGGGCCCATGACTATCATTGGAGGCCCAGGTGGATAGGAACACCTACTAAAATCCTTGGGTGCTAAACTAACTGTACCTGTTTCTAAACAGGAATGACCTCGTTCTTATGTTCTGTGCTTCGGTAACCTTGAGTTTGGATTGAGGTCCTGTACTCTTTTTGGAGCAGCCCTTAAGGCTGGTTTGGAAGCTGCTGCTATTAAGGAATTCAGTATCCAGTTTATTCACCAAGGTACCTGTGCTAAAGGATCTACATCGGCAGCCAGTTTGCTACTGAATTAAGTTGAAAGTGTTGGTATTAGTGTACAAAGCACTGTGCAACTCCATATGAGTTTGCCATGAGGAATGTCTGCCCCTATACCAACCCTCCAGGCTGCTGTGATTTTTCACAAGTGGCCCTCTTTGCATCATAGTCTATGGATGTTCATTTGGCAACAACAAGGAAACAGGCCTTCTCTGTAGTAGTGTCCATCTTGTGGAATGATTCCCCATTTGAGGTATGCCTAGCTTCAATGATGGCATGTTTTAGGGCCTTTTGAAAAGGTGTGTGTTTACTTTCCCGTTCCCTCAGCTGTGAGCTTTTTTTGTACCGGCCTATGACATGTTTGTGTACGTGTGTTTGGAGGGGGGGGGGGGGGGGGGGGGCTTGTTTGTTTTTATTCTTTTGTAAACTGCTTTGAGATTTGTTTCAACTAAGAACCTGTATATAAATAATACTAATAAATCAGAAATATGTGAGAATCCACCCCAGCTATAAAACCCCATAGACAGCCTTGGCAATTCACTGTCTCTTTGCTCAAAAGGGTATTATGGGGATAAAATACTTGTGTACCTGGCAGTGATTTTTTTTTAGTAGAAAGCAGGCTATTCATGTGATAAAGTGCCCTGATGTTCAATGCTTTTGGTTCAGCCCCTGGCATTTGCAGCTGAAAGAATATTGTTTATGGCAGGAGAAGCATTCCTCATTAGAGCCTGAAAAACTCCTGCCAGTCAAAGATGACAGCAATGGGCTACGGGAATAATTTGATCCGACTCTGCATAACACATCATCAGTAGGGTAGAACTCTCATGAGACAGTAAAAAATAATCATCTACTGATGTGTTAAAATAGTAATCCTGTTCAGTATATAAGAAACTGCACACTCATATATTTAGTGAGAAGAGGGGGGTATAAGCTGAGTTTTCACTGGAATTTATGGTGGTATATTTCAGGATAAACTTTTACAAAGATAAATACATAATACAATAGCAGGGGAAATACAGTTAAAACAAGAACTTAAATAATTAGCAGCAGCAGTAGCTGGAACAACAAATGAGCATGAAATTAACAGAGTTCAAATTTTTAAAAGTTTTCAAACCCATTTAAAAATTGTTACTTAAAGATCCATTTATACTTTGCAAGGGAGGCATTGCAGTGGGGGCCATTGTGGAAAAGGCCCTATCACTAGCACACACCATTCTAATAGTTCTTGATGGTGGCCCAGAAAGCAGGGCCTCTTAGGTTGCTCATAGCAGGTGATCCTTCAAGAAACTGGATTTCAAACCATTAAAAGCTTTAAAGGTCAATTTGCAGCACTTTAAATTGAGCCTAAAAATGAATAGTCAGCCAACACAAATTGGCATACAATTGGTGTAATATGATCAGAGCTTCTGCCCTTATGAGCATTCTACCAGATCAGTTCTGCACCAGTTGATGCTTCTGAACTGATTTCAGAGGCAGCCCTACATAAAGGCCCCAAAAGTACCATAATCCATATGTAGGTAGAGGAGGTATAGAGGGAGAAACCATATATATGAGATATAACGGATACTTGCACCTAATATTTATTGATTGATGCGTAGTTAGGCTGGTGCTAAAATGAGCTCTCAAAGCAGTATACAGAACTTGTGAATAAAATGCTATTTAAAGTACATTTGCTTAAAAAGCATTACTCTTATTTCACCAGCAAAGAAGTAGAATTAGGGTCATTTGTAGGACAGTACACTTACACCAGTATCCATATCTAGCTCCTGCCACTTTTATTTCATAGTTTATAAGCCAATCTGTAAAGAGATTAAAACAAGCCAACCTATTATAAAAAATATATATATAACACTATTATAGAACCCACAGGTCTCTAAAACAGAGAACAGCTTCAATCATTATGGAGCATGGTATAGGAAACAGGAAGTACAAGTGCCTTAGCCTTCCTATTCTTTGCACTTCTCTGTGTCATCTGAAATAGAACTTGTGCGTGTCATCCTAGGGGAAGATATCAAAGTTCTATTTTTGGCATGATATAGAGGAATATGAGACACTTGAACTTCCATTTCCCCTGCATTTCATAATATCAGAAGCCATTCTTCTAGGCACATTGAAAGTGTTATTTCATTTTTAAAGCCTGAAACAGCTTCACAGAATTATTCAAATAAACTGTGATCTTACCACCTCTGCTACAGAAACACTATATGACAAGCTTTTTATGAAATTGTTTTGTAGATTCATTTTTGAATATAGATATGGCTTTTTGAAGGTGTTTTGCATTGACTTTTTTATGATCTGTTTAACACATGCAGTGTAAGATTTACAGATGAAGTATTAATGTATTTGCTTTTAAATGGTCGAGCAGATTCTTGTTGGGGAGTTATTTTGCCTCTCACTTTGCACTTTCAGTTGGTTCCTGTAAAATTTCAAGAATATTCAGAAGTTATAATTATGTACTGCCATCACATTAAAACTAAGTATGTCTTTTGGTGTCCTCTAGGCCTCTGGATTGCCTTGGTTCCATATATAAAGCACCCCAAATATATATAGTTACTAATACTGTAAACACAGCAGAGCATTTTAGTATGGGATTTTGTATATTGGTTGGTTATGAGCAATGATTGTATATTTGTTTACTGAATTACATGTAAATAATATTAAATACATGTCAGGGAGTTGTGATGAAATGGATGAGGAAAGGAGAAATAGTCACCTGAGGACTCTTGCTTGCTTGTTTTGTTTTAAAGTAGTCAGAGCCTGTAAAACCATAGAAAAGGGTAAACTAGTATAAAAGTGCACATCCTTGCTTCCAGAATGTCATATTTGACAAATGTTGCTTCAGGCAGTAGAACCCAAACCAACAGGTTCAAATTAAAGGGGATTTCAAGTAAATGTTAAGAAGACTGTCTTGCTGATACGAGCTGTTTGATGGCTTACTTAGAAAATGGTGGACTCATCTTTGTTAGGCATTTTAAGTAGAGATTTTAAGTAGAGATTGATAACTGCTATCAAGGATGCATTGCCGATGGGTTTCCTACTTCAGAACAGGGTTTGCCTAGGTGACTTTTGAAGTCTCTTCCCATTCTGATCCTGCAGTCAATTTGGAATCTCCTTCCATTGATTCCTAATTGAAAATGTCAATGTTTATTGCATCTTGGTGGGAAATGGGAACAATCACTCCTTATCAGATCTTCTTTCTCTTTTTTTCCCTTTTAAAAAAATCAAATATTTTTCAATATACCCAAGGAAAATGAGAATGTACTGTTTCCCAGATATTGGAGAACTATTATTTTCCATGGGTGTAGCCCCAATTCACTGTACAGCTAATTGGCATGGGAAAAGAGGAAATTATCATCCACTACTTTTATTCTTCCTCCAAAAACAGGAATTTATGGATCCTTGGAAAGCAGAAAACTGAACCCTCTCCTTTTAATGTCAACACATGAATTGTCACATGTTGCTTGCAGTCCCAAAGGTTTAACAGTGTAAAGGACATGTATGGTAAAATGAAATGTGCTATCTTTTGGGGGTAGAAACTTTATGCGTGTCTCACAGGAAACACTTCAGTCTTGCCTTAACAGTTATTTTCACTTTTCAGCGATGCAGTCTTATAGTTCTCAATGTGTTAGAACTTTAGGAAATACCTAGGGAAGGAAATACTTTCATCTGTAGTGAGCAGGCATATGAATGCCTGACAGCTGGTACTAGTAGGATTGGAAAAGTAAAATACTATGTTTTGGTCTCTATGCTATTTAGCTAATATTAAGCTACTATTTTGCTCAAGTGCACAGTGCCTTGCAATTCATCAAAATTGTAGCCACATGCTTTTGCTCTTCTTCCTGTTCAAAACAACTTGAATGGTAAATCAAAAAGGGTGATTGTTGATGCTGTGAAAAAATAAAGGCTCTGGCTTTAAGGCAGTATGTGTAAACAAGATAATATTTTATTAAACAATGTCCCTCTTGATGCTTATATACCAGAAAAGGGTTTAACATTTTATGAAGGCAGAATGAATCAGCATATGGAAAAGGAATTTGGATTATTTTAGATAGAGAATTTGTACAATCCAGGAGTATAGTAGATTTTAATTATTACCACCCAATAGCTAATACCTTCCCTAAGTGGTGTTTTTAAATATCAAGTTTTAATTAGCACTCCATTTCAGAAAAAAAGCTTTTTGTTACAAGAAAATATAGATATCTATAATTTCTTGCATTAGCCCATGTTTCATATCATTGCTAGTTTAGCATTGCTAGAATTGGGATTAATCTTGGTGTGAGCTTTGTGCAGAACTTCATAATTTGTGGTGCCTAGTTATTCCCTGTTGATAGACTTTACTTTTTTTCTTTTCAGATCCTTGAAGAGTGATGCTATCAGTGAAGGGAATACTTTAGAGATAGAAAGTTGCTTCTCCTCAGATCACCTTCCAGATAAATCAGAGATGCCAGATCTTATTAAGAAAGTAAGTAGAATCAAAACACCTTAAAATAATCCAAACAAGTATCTGTTTTGGAACTATGAAGAGCAAAACACTGTCACTTACTTAATGCAGGGAAAAAATCTATAGGAACCATTGTATCATCGTTCTGGTAAGTCACCTGTCTTGTTTAAACAAAGCCTGAAAATTAGAACTCATAAGATACTAGCTGAAATAAAGAAGAAAATATATTATATTAAGAACTTCCAAACTTGATGTAAGGAAGGCAGCACCAAGGCAGATGTTGCTGATAGACTGATATGATGACTATGAACTGTTCAATCCAACTGCTATGGAATAGGGAGCAGCATGTAATGCTAGATGAAGTTTCTGAGTCCCACAGCATATGGTTACCCCTAGCTGGCGATGTGGGTAACAACTCACCACTGCAGCAGACTGTTTCCCAGACTGTTGAAGGGCACCCTAAAATGAGGTTTGCTGGGAGCCCTTCTTGCTTCCATCCATAGCAATTCTTCAGTGTTCAGGTATTACGAGTAAATACAAACCAAACAACCATCATCAACAGTATCCCAAAATTAAATTCTCTCCCCTCCCATTGATAGCCAATTGTATGGACATGGTAGAATCCTATCCTGGCTTCTTCCTTCACTAGCCAAAGTTTCTGTAATATGTAATACTCTGAAGAGGTTCATTATTAAATTAAACAGGCAAAGTATGTACAAAGTTGTTGCAGGGTAGGTTGAAAAACCAACTGTTTTGCTTCATGGGTGCCTGCTTTTAAATAAGCTGAAGGCAAACTTGAGAGAAGTTTTCGCTCAGACTGACATTCACATGTTCTGTCTTCAGCCCAGCCAGCCTCAGTCAAACAAGGAACAGAGCAGTTTTGATGGTGAAGTAGCTGCTGCGGAGCACTTCCCATGAACTACTGACTGCCTCATAAGACACAGCTTCATTGTCCAGTTGAAGACATGCTATCTTTGGAAAGCCTCTATCAAATAGAGGCTTGTGATAAAAATTAATTCCCAAAAAGCATTAATAATCAGGAGTATAATTGCTAGCATCGCAATTAGTATTTTTACTGTATCATTTTAAAAACAGGTGTTTTCAACACATGAACACAAAAAGCATTTTTGTATGTGTTAATTATGTGTGGCAAATTAATGACTATAGAAACTGACAAGTTTCAAAAATACACTTTGAAAATCTCCGTCTGTAGTGTTGAACAATAACAATATCCCCTATGACTAATAAGCAGTTTTGTAGTCAAATCAGCATAAGTATCAGTAGCCATTTCCCCTTGATTCTGCACATAACTACTAATATATTCTGGGGGGTCTTCCCTTAGTTCTTCTTGTAGCTACATGCTTCCTCTGTGTGTACAAAGTTTGGATTTCCCCCCCTTTGAATTCATCTGTGGCCTTTTTACAGTCACTTGAGGGATTACTGAAATCATAATTGTGTGTTGAAGTCCTATGGAACATTAATCTTTGAGAATTACTGAGTTGTGTGTGGTGTGGGGCTTTGTGTGGGTTTGACAGCAACTAAAATGAGAATTGAATAATGAAAAGACCCTAGCCACTATGAAATGAATGTCAGATTTAGAGGTGGAAGGTCAAAGGGCTTGAGACTGTTGTTATAAGGAAAAGCTACATCCCTCCCCGACACCCATCACTTGAGTGAAACTTGAACAACACTCGCCACTGCCTCCAATGGTTTATATGGAGAAGGTAGATCTGATTTCAGTCTCCAGCTAACTGTAAAAACTTTAGGTTAATTAGCGAAAGACTGAACATTTATTATGAGTCTGTGGACATCTTAAAGGTTAATTTCTTGGAAAACCAAAACACAAGGTGAATGCAAGGAACATGCATGCATTTCAACACCCGAGAAAGCGCTTTTTTGATATGTATCGATTCTGTAGTGAACAATATTTCATCAAAACACAAATATGTGCTGTGAAATATTGTTATTAAAATATTTCAAGTCAGCTTTAAATTACTGTATCTCAAGCATTTTTTCATTAAACTTGCAGTTGTCATTTTTATGAAACTTTCTTTGTGTTCCATACTTTGGGATAAATTGTTTAAACATCTATTTCTTCACTTCCAAACCAGCAAGAAACTAGATTTAGCACATAGCTTGAGTGATAATAATGTGTTGCTGTTCAGTGGCTTAAAAATAATATTCCTGCTAGAAATGTGTTATTATCACATTGCACAACCTATTTTTTCACAATTTTGGATAAACAGATCCTAATTCATCTTGTGCAACTTTAAATTGTCTTAAAGCAGGTTGTTTATTTAAAAATGGAGAAAATTATAACTGAAATTGCATGAGGTCTTCAGGCAGAAAAAATTGAAATGTCCATACTGTAATGCAATTTGGTCACAAACCTGTGACTGGTAGATGCTGTCTGGCCAGTCATAGGAAACACCGTAATCCCCACTGCAATCTCATAAAAAAAACCCTAGGGTCACTGTGGCAGCCCTGTCTTTAGAGGGCCCTTCTTTCACCCTCACAGCTGGTATGGTTCTTTCTGTACTGGCTGCAGCTTCAAAGACCATTTTGGGAGTGGGTGCCCAAGGGATGGGGAAGCAAAGCATCTCCATCATAGAAATAATTCGCAGGTTGCCTCATCCCTTTTCCTCATGAGCAGAGGCAAAAGACATAGATCACCAGAATCATCCATCAGTGTCTTGAGGGAATGCTGAGCCACTCCTTGCCTCCATACTTCTCCCACATTGGATTGGCTGAGAACATCAGCATTGGATGTCACCCTTTATTGCCCAACGGTCTTGTATATCTTAATGATTTGAAACTCTTTAAAATATCCTATTCTTCAGAACATTTGTCTTTTTCTCAAAACGGCTTAACAGAAGAACAATTCTATATTCATTGCTTTACATGTTATAATATAGGCCTTCCTTGAAGCATTTAACTTGAATCTTATTTTAGAAAGAAACAGTATCTCTTTATTTAAGGATCTTGACATAGATACAATCTGGAATAAAATGATAATACAGGACAGGAGTGTTCCTACTGTGTGTGTTGTCTTGGCAATAACATTTTGATAGCGTATGTAAAACAAAGGATTGCATATACTTCAGAAAAATGCATATACTGTGCATTAGGCACTGTGGTGAGAAGAAGAACATATGTTCTTCATTATTTTTTTTAAAAGCTCGTTTTCATTTTTACCCTGCAGTATAATTTTGCTGTTGAGATACCAGTCTTATGATCGTAGCAAAAGTATTCCATAATGTTCCTAGGGGATTTGATTTGTTTTTGGAATCCTTTGTCCCAGTGACTTTTGTTTAAGGTTTGTCTTCCTGACCAAAGTAAAAATAGATGTGTAAATGTGTATAGTGCATGGCCCCGGCATTCCATCCTTTGCTGAAGACTAGAAAGAAGTTTTTAAGCAAATACATGGTTTTATTGTATCATACATATGTATATGTATTAATGCATATTAATACAGGTTTGCTTAGCTGGTTGTTTCCTTTTAATCCAGGTTTTACATAGGGAGCTAGAGTGTTTGAAAGTGAAGAAGAATTTAATACAATACTTGTTCATTAGAAATGCAGGCAAAACCACACTTTCTATAGTCCTTTTAGTTAAATGTTTTGATCAATAATTCTCTACGGCAGCCTTTTGCACCCTGGTGCCCCCTAGATGTGTTGGACTCACATCATTCTCAGTCGGCATGGACTTGCTGGCAGGGAATGATGGAAGATGCAGTCCAACACATCTAGAAGGAATCAAAATGGGAAAGCTGTCCTACAGAATATAATTCACCATCTTGATGGTTGGAGGCTATAAGGAGCACCATTACATTAAATCAAACCAATGGATCTTAAGGCCTTGTAGTAATGCATCTACTTAAATGTAAACTGGACATATACTTAAAAGTCTGGTTTGGTTTGTAGGGAAAGGCATGTAACATAATCTACTTTTATGTAACTGCACATCATGCTAACACATTCTAGCAACAAGTCACAGTGGGTCTCTTGTCATGCAGAGAACCCATGGTAAGATCAGCAGAAGATCAGGGCTAGAATTATTATTGGCCCTTTCTTCCCTGCTCAAAACTCCTGGGAATATCCTATAGGACATTGCAGGAGGAATGAGTAATTTCTCTTCTCTTGTCATAATTGTGTGTCATTTTGGGCTCACCATAGCTTGCTTTAAAAAAAAAATAATGAAAGAAGGCTGTCAAGCTAGGTTTCACAATTGCAGTTTTAACTGATACAGGCAGTCTCTTCAAAGTGCCCCAGCAGCACTTTGGAGGCGCTACCTATGGGTACCTGTGCAGAAGCTGCAGCTTCAACGGAATAGTCGGGACTGAAAAGTCTGAACAGATGACACTAATTCTGGCCTCTTTGAATGGGCTATTAGTATGTTTCCAAGCTCGAACCAAGGAACTGTTTTTAACTTATAAAACCTTATATGGCTCATGATTGCAATATCTGTAATGGGGGATATGTCCTGATAAAAACCTACCCATATACTACAATCATTATCTGAGACCTACCACAAATGCAAGAGGATAGCAACAAAGGAGAAAGCCTTTTCAGCATTCCACCTACTGTGGAATGCTCTCACTATCAAAGACACCATCTACATGGCTGTAGAGTTTCCCAAATGGATTCCCATTTCCAAGGCTGGCAAATGGTTGCAACATTGGAACTAAGGGTCTGTGTGCAGATTCTCCCTCTGCAGTTGGTATTAAAAAAAACTACACCTGGTATAAAAAGAGCCATAGTCATGTGCTTCTCTGAGGTTGTAAAAGCAACCTTGGAGGAAGTGATTTAGTTGGCATACTGGTAGGCAGGGAGGAGGCCCATGCTGCCATGATTCAACATATCCTAGCAGTCCTGAAGCCTCCTTCCATCTCCTTCAGATGTATTTCACTTGGATGGCCAAAAGTGCCTGTTTAGCCACTTCACAGAACAAGGCAACCTTTACCTCTATATTCCTTATCTGCATTGGATTGTGTCTATTGTGTCTTAAGTCTTCTGTATAGG